TTTGTACCCAAACAACACCCTGTTCAAGTGAAGATGGAATGATTGTATTAAAAATAAAAAATTTAAAAAAAGGATTCAAATCCTATCCTGATATAATTGTATGCAAAACTCTCAGTCAAATATGCAATGTTTGTATGCTTCAGCCTTCCTTTCCCTTGACTGTAAAGGCTTGTGAATGTACTTATATTGGAAAAATGGGAGCCTTCACTGCCAATATATTCCCATTTTTCTTTTTCCTTTTATAGTACTACACAACTTTCCATGTACTAAATAGCTGTCTTGATTAGGACTTGTATTCAGTTTCTTATATTGAATCAACACAATACCCAAAGCTCATTCCATTTATGAGATTTTCCTCATTATTTTGGTGGGGGGTTTTTAGACTTAGGGAACTTTGTTTTGATAAAAAAAATGTTTGAGATTTCCACTTGAAAAATTCAAACTATTCAACTTCCATAATATATGTTTTCCTTTAACATTCTTTTAGCTGTATAATTTGTTTCCCAAGTTGGGGTTCCTTTTGAGGGCTCATAAAACAATAGTGAAGAATCAAAAGGAGATCCATGATTTCATACATACCACCTTCATAGACTATCTCCAAGACCTTGATGAAAATGACCAGAGGAATTTTATTGAATCATTTCTTGTTCAGCAGAAACAGGTAATGGACTGTTTTACCCGTGTTTGTTATTACTGATTTTTTAAAAAAATATTTTAAAAATCTGCCTCCATATATACTACCTGCAGGTTGATTAAGATCTTTCTTTTAAAATATAGAAGGAAATATATTTCCAAACCAATTTTTATCATTCCCTCTTCATTTATATCAGAATCTGCAGCTACTAAAAACTACACCTTGATTGATTTCTCTCCCCATTAAAAATGCCTTAAATATTGATATCTTTCTGGAGGAGTGGGTTCAAATGTGGATAGGAGAGGGCAATCCCTTTGTGCCAATATTTTCTCTTCCTGTTTAACTGTTTGAGTTTAGAGTTTTCCTTCTATAAATCCAGGAGTGTTGGGACAAGAAAGGCTATTGCCCACATATGAAGTGCCCTCTTAGATTTCAGGAATATTGGTTATGTGGTTGGTTGAGTTTCCTTACTAGTATTTTCTTTTTACACTTCAGGAAAATATGAAGATGGCACCTGGTGGATATTTCCATAATGAAAATCTTATAGGCGTTGTAGATGATTTATTTGGTGCTGGTACAGACACAGTGGGAAACACTCTGCGCTGGGCCATACTTCTAATGATGAAGTACCCAGAAATCCAGAGTAAGTACTTTCATTTCATTGGCTTGCAATAAAAATATAAAAATTACTGAAAAATAATTGTTGGCATCTGGAATGCTACTTGAATGAAGGGAAAGAGATAGTCAAGAATTAAGCTGAGTAGAGTAGGGTAGAGATAGAATAGGAAAGAAGAGTAGAGTAGAGAAGAGATTACTTTATTGGCCAAGTGCAATTGGACACATAGTGAACTTGTCTGAGGTGCATAAGGTCTCAGTATACATATATACAAACTACAAGGTAAAAATATATCAATAGAGTAGGTATTAGAAAAAATGAGAAAAGATAATGATGATGATGATGATGATGATGATGATGATTTGTGACTAGGTATTAGAAAAAATGGTATTAGAAAAAATGAGAAAAGATAATGATGATGATGATGATGATGATGATGATTTGTGACTAGTGATTTGTGATATAAACCCAGCATAGTTATCCCATTTGCTGTGTACACTGTCATTTTTTGTGCATAATAATAATACAGTCATACTACATGGGTAAATATACATAATATCATTTTGTTTTCCCAGGCAAGGTCCAAGCAGAAATTGCAAGAGAGATTGGTGATATCCAACCAAGGACTGGCCACCGGGCCAAAATGCCTTACACTGATGCCGTACTTCATGAATGTCAAAGATTTGCTAACATTGTTCCCTCCAATTTGCCACATGCAACCACTATGGACATAACTTTCAAAAACTTCTTTATCCCCAAGGTGATTAATCTGAAATCACTATGTTATATAAGATCTAGTCTCTCATGTTCAGTGTGTAGAAAAAAATGGTCCTTAAATGAATAGAAAGTCCACAGACTGTTATTAGAACACTTTTTATAGATGTATTTATCAAGGTGCCAATGGGAGATGTTTTTATTTGTCATTCTGAAACCACCCCACCTCTTGATTCATGAGAAATGGTTTCTTCTCTTGTTTTATTCTTTTATTTCTTCCTGGTCTTGGTTTATTGCTTTATTTCCCCTCCTTGTTTTCAGTAAGACTTTATTATTTGTTTTATGACCTGATTTTCTTGATATTTTTTATTTCCAAGATTAAAATGCAAACCTTAACAGAAAAAAGGAAAACAACAGCAAACAAAGCAAAAACTAAGCAAGATTTAAAATTGTTCATTAAAATAAGCCCCAAACCAGTGGTGGGATTTATCTGGTTTGCACCAGTTCTCTAGAACCTGTAGCTAATTTTTTTGCTGAATTTGGCGAGCTGGTTAGATGTGTTCCAAAAAATCTGCGTTTTCCAGAACATGTCTTGTTTTTGTTCAACCTCCTTCCAGGTGAGGGAAAAATCCTCTCCCCCAGAGTCCAAGAAAGCTTTCTTACTTTAGAGCAGGCAGCAGGGCTGGGTGGAGTGGGACCTGTACATAAGGCAGCAGCCCAGGGCTAAAACGTCAGTGGAGCACCAGAGCTGACAGCCTCACCATTCTTTGCAGGGTCCACTCAGATGAGGAACTTCATTGCAAAATGCTTTCCATGGTGGGAATCCCCTGAAACATCCTGGCCAAAGAAAAAGAGGAGTTTGGACAGCCAGTCAGGAGGCCAAAGGGCACCTAAGGTCCCACAGAAAGCAGTATAGCCACAGCAAACGTCGAGGGAGCACATGGGGAGGGCTCACTATTCCCACCACCACCTAAGCTGAAAGGCCAAAGAGAAGCACCCTGTACTCATGTACTGCCCTGACACTTCCCCTGAACCTGCCCACCGCCACACAACACCTTGCCTGCTTCCCCACCCACTCTTCTCTAGCAAGTGCTCAGCAGCCAGGAAAACTAGCAGCCACCAGTTTTTCCCTCCCCTGCAGATCTACCCAACTGAAGTTCATGGAAATCACGTGGTGGCCCTTGAAACTTCTGGAGGGAACTGGCTGTAAGACTGGGAGGTAGCCTTTGGCAGAGCCAACCTGATGGGGAAATGAAAAGAGGGGTTTCCCCCCGCTTCTTTCAGGCTTTGGGGTTTGGGGTGGTTCTAGAGCTGGAATCGACTCAGTTGATGATTGAGGAAGTCCAGAGTTGTTTGTTCTCTCACCAATCCTCTTTCCCCATTTAAAAGCACTGCACTTGGGGGGTGGGGGGTGTCTGACTAAAGAGCTGTGCTTGCAGAGAACAGAAGGTGAAAACCAGGCGCAAATTCTGAAATAGTTTTTATAGGAAATTGCCTCTAGCATTTCCACTGTAAAATAAAGGGAGGAGGTGTTGTTATACTTGAGCATGAAAGTGGCAGGATGGCTGTGCCATGCTGTCTGAATCTCACCTTTATCATGAAAAGTACCACTCAAGGCAGCATAGTCTGCATTTAAAAGAATAATCCACACAAAATAAACTGGATTAGCTGTATTATTAGCCATTTGGCAGCTAATAATTTAGCTTAAAACCAGTGGTGGGATTCGGTTTGATACAACCAGTTGCTAATTCCTGACCAGGCATTGGCAATATCTCCCAAGCACACAAAAAAGTAGATGTTCCACAATAAAATGACCACAGAAAAAAACATATTTGCCACAATAGAGAGTAAATAGAAATGGAAAATCCCAATTTCTTTAGAAAGAAAAAGAAAAAAAGATCAAAAATACAGTATATACAAAAGGAAAATGAAACAGTTATTTTAAAAACTAGTAAAATTTTAAAAAATGCCTGCAGTAGAAATCTGATAAATCAGATCAAATCAGTTGTGAAATTATCAAGAAGAATGTCTTTGCACTTTAGGTTGCTATGCAACAAAAGTAAAATTATTTCACAGCAAAGCAGAGATAAAAAAAATTCACATTTATAGCCCCACAAGGGTATATAAAATAAATCAGTGTTCAACCAGGTGTTTATCTAAAGATGTAAATCAAATGCAAAAAAAAAGTGATGTTTAAAACCAAGGCCTACCTAAAACACTGGCAGGAAAAGAGGGAGGTGGAAATATATTTAATATTTTTGTTAATTGAATATTGCTGCAGTCCCAATATTTACTTCTCAATAAACAATTTACAAAATCCCTGGATTAATTTCCATAGACCTGCATTAAATGGACATACTCCTTTCCATATCATCCTTTTAGTTTTTCATATTTTAGGGCACACACATCATTCCCTTGCTGACTTCTGTGCTCCGTGATGAATCCCAGTGGGAGAAACCTCATGAATTCTACCCTGAACATTTTCTTGACTCAGAAGGAAAATTTGTGAAAAGGGACGCATTCATGCCATTTTCTGCAGGTGAGTAATTTGGCCCCGATTTCATTGTAGGCTGGGCAGTGGAAGACAGAGTGAATAATGTTTTCCCTTTGACAGACTACACAGAGATAGAGAAGTTATTCAACAGGGCACTTACTCAATCTCCCTTCAAGCTATGCCAAGGTCATGCTCTGCTGCCAGTGGGACATAAGCAAACTTCACAGTGTGGCACTGATAATATTAAAAACATTCCAGGAGAGGCTTCAGAGTTTATATTGTACAGGAGCCCTTGACTTAAAACTTCAGTTGAGGCTGAAACTTCTGTTTCTAAGTGATACATTTGTTAAGTGAATTTTGCCCCATTTTATGACCTTTTGTGCCAAGTTGTTAAGTGAATCACTGCAGTTGTTAAGTTAGAACCACTTGTTAAGTGAAGGTGGCTTCCCTATTGCCTTTTTTCATCACAAGGTCTCAAAAGGTGATCCAGGGACACTGCAACTGTTATAGATGTGAGTCAGTTGCCAAGCATTTGAATTTTGACCATGGGGATAAGGCAACAATTGCTAAATGTGAAAAGTGGTCATGATTCATTTTTTTCAGTACATTGTAACTTTGAGCTTCACTAAATCAACTTTTGTAAATTAGAGATTATGTACAATGATATCAGGATGAAAATACAGATGACTGTACCACAATAAGGGTATTTTTTTTTAGCAATTATAATAAAATAGAGCTGGAAGGGACCTTGGAGGTTTTCTAGTCCAGCCCCCTGATCAAGTAGGAGAATCTATACTATTTCAGATAAGTGGCTATCTAGTCTCTTCTTAAAAACCTCCAGTGATGGAGTGTCTGCAATTTCTGAAGGCAAGCTGTTCCACTGGTTAATTGTCCTCACGGTTAGGAAATTTCTCCTTTGTTCCTCTCTTTGGTTAGTTTCTAACCGTTATTTCTTGTCTTGCCCTCTGGTGCTTTGAAGAATAATTTGACCCCCCTCTTCTTTGTGGCAGTCCCTCAAATACCGGAATACTACTATCATGTCACCTCTAATTTTTCTTTTCTTTAGACTAGCCAAACACAAATCCTGCAGCCGTTCTTCATAAGTTTAGTCTCCAGGCCTTTGATCATCTTAGTTGCTCTTCTCTGAACCTTTTCTCAACATCTTTTTTGTAGTACGGTGACCAAAATTGGTTGCAGTGTTCCAGGTGTGGTCTTTCTATGGTTTTGTAAAGCTGTACTAATACTTGATCTTGATTCTATGCCTCTATTTATACAATCCATTATGGTATTAGCTTTTTTGGCGGTTGCTGCACACTGCTGGCTAGTATTCAAGTGATCATCCACTATGAGTTCAAGTTCCCTCTCAACACTGACAGTTTTTGAGCCAGGTCTCACCTAGTCTGTACTTATCCCTTTGATTTTTCCTGCCTAAATGTAAAGCTTTGCTTTTCTCCACACTAAAATGCATTCTGTTGAAAAGGGCTCATTGTTCAAGTTTGTCAAAATCTTTTTGGATCCTGAATGTGTCTTCTGGGCTGTTGGCTCCTTCTGCCACTGCAGTCAGCTGCCTACAATTTGGCAGTTCAAATCCCACCAGGCTCAAGGTGACTCAGCCTTCCATCCTTCCAAGGTGGGTAAAATGAGGACCTAAATTGTTGGGGGCAATATGCTGATTCTGTAAACTGCTTAGAGAGGTCTGTAAAGCACTATAAAGTGGTATATAAGGCTAAGTGCTATTGCTATTGTGGTACCTCACTACTTACTTTTCTCCATGTAGTTGCAGTACCATTAAGGACTACTCATTGAGTACAATTTTTCAGTTAGCTATAAATCCATCTAATGGTGATGTTGTCTATTCCACATTTTTCTAGCTTACCTAAAAGTAGGTTGTGGTCTACTTTGTTGAATGCCTTACTGAAGTCTAAGTACAACATGTCCATAGCATTTTGCTGGTCTACTAATGTAGCCAGTTTCTCAAACAATGAAATAAGATTGATTTGGCATGATCTGTTTTTAACAAACCCATGTTGGCTACTAGTTATAACTTTATTTGCTTCTAGTTGTTCGCATATCTGTTTCTTGATTATCTTTTCCAGAATCTTCTCAGTTATTGATGTTATACTGATTAGTCTGTATTTTTCTAGGTCTGTTTTTTCCCTTTCTTTAAGATGGCAGTCACATCAGCCTTCTTCAGGTATTTCACTGGTGCTCCAGGATTTTTTATTATTATTATTTTTATTGTATTTTTTTTAGCTCCATTTCAAGAAGTCTTTCTCTAAAGTTTTCTCTATTCCAAGAACTGTTTTTCCCAAAGAACATAGAATTAGATGTGATGCCCTGGAGAGGCCTAAGATTTTCCTCATGAAGATATTTTGAATTATGTCCAATTCAGTCATAACCCTCTCATCCCAAAACCTATTTTGGCTCCATAAATATCTGAGCAAGAAACTCACCCTAAGTATTTGAATTGCTCTTTTTTGCAATCATCCTTCTCCACTCCTTTACTGCATTTTTATATTTTTCCATACCTTTGATCTGTTATTGTTTTCCTGTGTGCTGATCTCTTCATGGACATTGGACATTGGAAAACCATGTGAAATAGTTTAAGAAACCAATAAACAACCATCTCCTTTTTTTGACATCTATGCTTTATTTCAGGTCGGAGAGTATGTGCAGGTGAAAACCTTGCCAAAATGGAGCTCTTCCTCTTCTTTACTAACCTCCTCCAGAGATTTACCTTCCAGCCACCTTCAGGAACATCGAAAGATGACCTGGACCTGACCCCTGTTGCTGGGATTACCTCCATTCCTATGCCATTCAAGACCTGTGCTATGCTACACTGATTCAAAAAAAAAATTATAACGAGCTGTTTTCTCAGTCTTGAAATGCCTTCATTTGACGGAGGCAAAATTTAACAATAACATTCAGTATTGTCTAGGTTTTAGAACACAGGTATCAAACTTGATCATGTCACGTGACATATCATGACTTTTTTGTGAAGCTGGGGTGGGCTTATTCTGCACATGAGACATCTGGTGGGCCACCAGACCTGTTTTAGAAGATGACTTTTAATAATCTATAATATCATGGAATGTGGATTATGATATGAAATAGAAAGGAAATCATGAAAAGCACTTTTCTTTTTGAACCATTTGTTTCCTTAGCTTTTTACTAATCTTTTGTCGTCTTCAGGTTTTTGTATCATTTGATTTAATTAAGAATTAATAAAGTCAGTAATCATTCTGCTTTTGATGAATGTTACCTTGAAGGGTACAATATTCCACAATGTTACAGAGACTGGGAGCCATGGCAGAAAAGGCTCTTCTCCTGGATGTCACCAGCTGGAAGTCTTTGATCAACAGGATCTGCAGGGTGTACTTTTTCCAGTGCAGATTGGGTGGGCCAATCCAATTGTGTGAGACAGTTCCTTAAGTTAACCTGGACCAATGACATAAAGGACTTAATAGCTAATAACAACACCCTGAAATGATTTTGGCAACCACTTTTGGCAACTTACACAACAACATTTAAAATGGGCCACCCTAGTGGCCCCAAGAATTGTCCATTTGTCTGCATTCTGTGCCAGCTGTAGCTTCCAAATAGTCTTTAAGGATTGCTCCATGTAAAGCACATTTGTAATAGTCCCTATGTAAGATGACCAAGCCTGAGTGACCAAGCACTGAGACTGCCAATCCAAAAAATGGTACAACTGGTGCACAATGGTACAAAGTTGCACAAAGGCTCTCCTAGACATAACTGTGACTTGGTCTTTGAGCATGAGTCAAGAATCCAGGAGAATCTTTGGGTTGCACCAGGTCTGTCTGGAGCAGTGCAACCTTAACTAGAATTAAAGATTTTAAAGTCCTGGATCCCAAAGCCCACCCCCACCCCAGCTCTGGTGATTACAGAAAATGATGTACCAGCTCTATTTCACAGAAGAAAGAAAAGAAAAGCACCAGGCCCAGACAAGATAACTCCTTGCTTAAAAGCTTGTGCTGACCAACTGGCCTCCATCTTTACCCGCATCTTTAATAAATCACTAGAAATGTGTTATGTTTCTTCTTGCTTCAAATGCTCAACTATCTTCCCAGTGCCAAAGAACCCTCCATCAAGGAATTGAATGACTTCAGACCAGTTTCTCGAATATATGTAGTTACGAAAACCTTTTGAGTTTCATGTTTAACGAATAAAAGTTTATACAACAACAACAACAACAATTAGTAGTCTATGGAGATTTTCAACCATCCAGGTCATGGTTGTCCAAAGGTGCTTTTCAGAAAGCAACTGAAATTTCTTGAGGTTTTTTTCTTGAAAACTTTTCACTTCTCATCCAAGCAGGTTCTTTTTCTTCAGTTCTGACTGAAGAAAAACTGCAGATCTTCTGAAGAACTAAAGAAGTTTCTTGGATGAGAAGCAAAACATTTTTAAGAAAAAAGAAGAAAGTCTAGTTGCCTTTTGAAAAGCACTTTTGGGACATGCCAGACAAGTCCTATTTCATTCTTTGACAAAGTGACTAAATTAGTGGATCAGCAAAGTGCTGTGGATACAATTATTTGGAATTTAGTAAGGTGTTTAATAAAGTAGACCACAATCTACTACTTGATAAAATAGAAAAATGTGGGTTAGATAGCATCACAACCAGATGGATTCATAACTGGCTGACCAACCACAATGAACATGTAGCTTTTAATGGGACTGCATCTACAGCTAGGGAAGTATCCAGTGGGGTACCCTAAGATTCTGTATTAGGTCAGTACTCTTCAACAAGGATCTTGACAAACAGCCATATTTAACAAAATGAAATTCAGTGGTGAGAAAAGAAGGGCTTTATGTGTAGGCAAAAAAACCCCAAATGCATAGGTATAGAATAGGTGTTACCTGGTTCAGTAGATGTAATTTTGAGAGAGATATAGGAGTCTTAGTGGACAACTACTTAAATATGAACAAGCAGTTTGCTGCAGCCTCAAAAAAAACAAAACCCAATGCAGTCCTAGGCTGCATTAACAGAGGAATAGAATCAAGATTATGTGAAATGTTAATACTGCTTTATAATGCCTTGGTAAAACTATTGGAATACTGTGTCCAGTTTTGGTTACCACAAGGCAAAAAAAATTGTTGAATTTCGAGAAAGAGTTCAGAGAAGTACTACTAAGATGATTATGGGACTAGAGAATAAAACATATGAAGAACAGTTGCAGGAATTGGGTATGTCTAGTCTAATGAAGAGAAGGACAAGGGATGACACGATAGCAATCCTCATAAGTATACTCAGTTGGTTTGCCAACTTGGTAATTATTATGTAATAATGATATTTATATAATGGCATATTAGTGCTTTTCAAAATTTCAAATTGTAGGCTTATATTAGCATCCTTTTTTAATTTTTAACTAACTTGACAATAGAATAGAATGGAGTGGAATGGAATGGAGTAGAGTAGAATAGAGTAGAATAGAGTAGAATAGAATCCGGATGTTTGTATATTTGTAAACCTCCTTTTAAACAGTTTTTGTTCATTATATTCTTTTCTAGATTTTCTTTGCACTTGCAGAAGAAATAAATTTAAAAAGGTAAATTAAGGTAAAAAGTAATTAAAATGATATTTTAATTCAAATAATTAGATTCATAAGTTCTGTGTAAAACTGAATGCATACATGTAAATGAAAATCTTTGTATAAAAAGCCAGTTTGGTCTAGTGGTTAAGGCACCAGGCTAGAAACCAGGAGACTGTGGGACAAGTTCTGTGTTAGGCATGAAAACTCACTGGGTGACTTTGGGCCAATCACTCTCTCTCATCCCAACTCACCAAACATGTTTGATATTGTGGGGAAAATAGGAGGAAGAAAGAGTATTAAGTATGTTCGCTACTTTATGTTATTTATAAAAATAATAAAGAAGGAAACAAATATCAATCAATCAATGAGTTTAATTGATTAATATATAATAACCTTCATTTGTCATTACCTTGAGTTATGTTGAAAAACAAGGAGGAAGGGAAACATAGATAAATTTCTCCTCCTTCTCACAATCTGCTATGCTGGAGAGTAACTGCTTCACTTGCCCACAGAACAAGGATGGGGCAAAGTTTAGTGCACTCTTATTCATTCTACTTCCACATATGTACAAATCCAAGGGTGTAATAATCATTAATAAGAATGCATAAGTGTGTGATACATATTATGGGAATATGTGGGAATCAATTAAACAACAAAAGTAACATGATCTAGCATTTGATTCACCCATGCTGCTTTGTGAAATGCAATATCCTGATCTCTGTGTTACAAAACCTCTCTTTTGAATAGAACTTGCACTATATCAGTCAAAGCCAAAGAGCAGAATCAAGGACTAAGAACAAAAGAGGAACATGTAACACTCAGAGAGTTACCAACCATGTTTTCATGAGTAAAGGACAGACACAAAGATGAGAATGCATAGATTTTTTCAAGACACAATGAACTAAAGAGAGCCTGTCTTCTGAAAGTATTCGATATCACTGTTTCTTTCTGCAAAAATGAAAAGTAGAGTGTGTCTCAGTGAATCTCTGTTTCCTTCTGTTGGAAAGAGTTGCCGTTCCTCCATTTTTCCTAATTGACTGCTATTTATGGGTTTGATGTAAGTCTGATACTGAACTGTTTTTGACACTGGACTTTGTTATTGGATTATCCCTGGATTGAAAAACTGACTGACTTACCTGTGAAGGACTTTGGACTGCTTATTTTGACTTTGCTTAAACTTTCTGGGAGTAAAAACCTACATTTACTGCACAGTGTATCTGTGTATGGTGTGTGTATTAGTCAAACACTACTCTCAGATATGCCTCCCTGTATGCACTCATTCTCCTAATGGGGAATTACCTCAACACTGGTTATGGGCCCAGGCCATACCAGGCTCAGATAACTGAGAGTTAGTGTGAATACACAGTACTGTATACAGACAGCTGTTTACTGTTTAATTGTGGGTTACTATCCTGGTAAAGATGGCACAAGACCTGTCAACAAGTCTATCACTGATAACCCAGTTGGATGGAACAAACTATGTTTCCTGGTCTATGAAATGCAGTATACTTCTGCGTAGAGAATGGTTATGGAATGTAGCTCAAGACCCACCGGATGTAAATACTTGGGATCCAAAAAATGAGGATGATGCCAAGAAGCTTGCTGACTTTAAACAGAACAACAAACAAGCTCTTTGTATAATTGGACTAACACTGAGTGACCAGCAGCTAGTCCATATTCGTGGAGAAGAGTCTGTTGCTAGGTTTTGGGAGAATTTGAAGAGGATTTATGTTCATGACAGTGTAGGTGCACACATACATCTTACACGTAAACTGTTTAGAGCACGTCTTCTAAAAGGAGGAGATATGTTAGCTCATTTAAACTTCATGAAAAGAACTTTTCAAGAGCTACATGAAAAGGAACTGATATTTTCAGAGCTGCATCAAGTTTACATCATTCTTTCCTCATTGGATGAAAGTTATGATGATTACGTATCTTCACTGGAAGTCTTGCCCAGAGATAACCTGACATTGACTGACATAACTGGAAGATTGCTAGAAGAAGCAAGAAGACAGCTGGATAGAAACCAACTGAGGAAGGAACAACCACAAGAACAGGATTTGTCTTCAACTGCCTATACTGTTAGGAAATGTTTTTCTTGTGGGGCTAAGGGACATACAGCTAGATTCTGTAAGAAGGAAAAATAACAGAATACTAGTAAACACCAGAAGGCCAAGAAGAATGTTAGTTTAGCTATGTCTAGCAATTCAACTGTAAACCATGATTTGTGGGTTGTTCAAAGTGGAGCATCACAATGCATTACTAAAGATAGAAAAAGGTTTATAAAGATGTCCATGAGTAAACAACATGTATCATTGGCAAATGGATGGAAGATTAAAGCATCAGGTGAAGGTTCTGCATATTGTTCTTGTATAAATGAACATTTAACTATGTTATATGTACCAAAACTAAAATTTAATTTGCTATCAGTAAGGGCTTTAGTTAATGTTGGTTATGTAGTAACCTTTAGGGGAGATAACTGTATAATAGAGAAAGAGGGTAAAAGAGTTACTGCTACATTAGAGAATGATTTATATGTTATATATGATGACCAGTTGAAGATGGCTAGTTCAGTTTATTACAATGTTAAGCCACATGATGAATGTATACATTTACTGCATAGACGTCTAGGGCACATTAATTTCAAAATGCTCAAACAAACTGTTGAATTGTCAGAAGGAGTAAAATTGAAACCCTGTAGGAAGTATTTAAACTGTAATGCTTGTAGTCAAGAAAAGAGTAAGGTTACTCCAGCAAACAGACTAAATGGGTTTAAGACCAAAGAACCTTTAGAGGTTGTTTTTGCTGATATAATTGGTCCTAAGAAACCAAGTTTAGGAGGTGCCTGCTATATTTTGAGTATTATGAACCATTACTCATGATACGATTTCTGCTATCTTAAGAAAAACAAAACAGAAACATTCCAACATTTCTTTAACTGGCTAAGGTTTGCAGAGAGAAAAATGAAAAGTAAAGTAATTACTTTAGTTACTGATAATGGTACTGAGTTTGCTAATAAAAGATACCAAACTATGTTGAAATTGGCTGGTGTTGAGCATAAACGATCTGCACCTTACAGACCACAACATAACTCGTTTGTAGAATGAAGAGGGCAAACATCACGAGCCATGGCTCGTACTATGTTATCTGATTCAGGTTTACCTGAAACACTGTGGGGTGAGGCCATAATGTGTAGTAATCATGTTTTAAACAA